CCCCCCCCCCCCTCCCCCCCCCCGCCCCCCCCCCCCCCCCTCCCCCCTCCCCCACCCCCACCCCACCCGCCAGGGAAAACCATCACTAGCTGGGTAGGTCTTGGCTCCTCATCAATCTCCCGGTACTGGATTTTCTGTTAATGAGCCTGTTTAAAAAGTTGTGCGGCCCCCTCCCCTTTCTCTCCCTTCCCCTCCCTCTGTTCTGCGGGGGGGCAGGGGGGCAGAAGAGAAACCACCTAAAACGTTCGGTGCTGTGACGTGACGTCGGTGCCCTATCGATCCCCCCCAACCTTCCACCGGGTCCCTGGAATTTTGTGTTGCCCGCCACTGACTTGGCCCTCGCGGCGCCAGGGCCCTCCCGCGGTTCTCCAGGGCAGCGGCTCTCCGAGCTTTCCAGAGCGCCCACCGCGCCGCCCGATCTAAAACACTGCACTGGACTCCCACGAGGGCAAGAACGAGGGACTTTTTTTAAAATTATTATTATTATTTCAACCTTCTCCCCTTTGTAAGAGCCGTGCTACTAAAGTTGTGCAATACTACTTCCGGGAGCCATCCCTCCCCTCGCATTCCCAGCAGGGTTCCACTGTGTACTGTGTGCTGGGTTCTGGACAGCGAATGAAAAGCCCGCCTAAGCGGTGGATTGGCCAGGAGCCTGGCTCCCAAGCTGTCTGCGGGAAAGCTTAAGCTACGGGCACGTATGGATTGCCGACGTTTTGGGGTCCCCGCCCCGCGGACACGAGTCGGCAGCTGGCCCAAGTTTCCGCCAAGTACTCTTGGTGATAGAGAAACTTTGCCACCTTTTGACCAGAGGGTGAAGCAGCACTGGGTGCTACCCACAGCTTTTGGGACAGGGAGGGTAGAAGTTAGGGTGAGGCTAGAGCGAAATTCAGGTGTGTCGACCCAGGCTCGCTAACCTAGCAGTCACTTTGCATTTTACTCGGTTTGTTTGGTAGTTGGTTTCGGTTCGTGCTGGGAGCGGGTGGACGTGTGCAACAAGTCACGCCGCCTTGGCGTCCGGATTGGGATCGAGATTCGGCAACAGCCCTTTTTTTTTGACAGGGTGGGTGGCTCTGAAAAGAGCCGTTGGTTTCGGGAATGAGCCTTTCGGCCCCAGGAGCTCCGAGTCCGCTTACTTGCCCTTGGCCTTATGGTGACTCTCGGTTTTCTTGGGCAACAGAACGGCCTGGATGTTGGGCAGCACGCCGCCCTGGGCGATGGTCACCTTGCCCAGCAGCTTGTTGAGCTCCTCGTCGTTGCGGATGGCCAGCTGGAGGTGGCGGGGGATAATACGCGTCTTCTTGTTGTCTCTGGCTGCGTTGCCCGCCAGCTCCAAGATTTCAGCCGTCAGGTACTCCAGCACCGCCGCCATGTAAACGGGGGCGCCGGCGCCGACCCGCTCGGCGTAGTTCCCTTTGCGCAGCAGGCGGTGCACACGGCCCACGGGAAACTGCAGCCCCGCACGGGACGAGCGGGACTTTGCCTTGGCGCGAGCCTTGCCTCCCTGCTTTCCGCGGCCAGACATGACGGATACGAGTACAACACAGCTGCGTCAATCACCGACTGAAAAACTACACTGGTGCCCGGACCCGCCGCACCGGGGCCTTTTATAGCTTGCGCGGGGAGTGGGGAACGGGGCCGTCTGATTGGCTCACAGGCTGTCTTTGTCCGAATGGCCAGTGGGGAGGCTCGCCTCGGATTCCGTTATTTACATGGCCGTCCTCTCCGCCTATGACGACACCCCTGAGAAGCCACCAATGGGAGCCTAGCGTTGCCGGAGCCTTCATTTGCATATGAGCACTATAAGTAGCGGGGGCCGGCTCAGCAGTCTTCGTTGTTCGTTTCTCGCAGTTGCTCCTTCTCTTCTTTTCAGCCCTTTCTCTGTTGCCGATATGCCTGAGCCGGCCAAGTCTGCCCCTGCCCCGAAAAAGGGCTCCAAGAAAGCCGTGACCAAGGCCCAGAAGAAGGACGGCAAGAAGCGCAAGCGCAGCCGCAAGGAGAGCTACTCCATCTACGTCTACAAGGTGCTGAAGCAGGTCCACCCCGACACCGGCATCTCCTCCAAGGCCATGGGCATCATGAACTCCTTCGTCAATGACATCTTCGAGCGCATCGCCGGCGAGGCTTCCCGCCTGGCGCACTACAACAAGCGCTCCACCATCACTTCCCGGGAGATCCAGACGGCCGTGCGCCTGCTGCTGCCCGGGGAGCTGGCCAAGCACGCCGTGTCCGAGGGCACCAAGGCCGTCACCAAGTACACCAGCTCTAAGTAAGCGGGTCTGCCCCAGGAGTCGCTCGTGCCCCTTCGCCCCGAAACAAAGGCTCTTTTCAGAGCCACCCACCCTTTCTTGGAAAGGAGCTGTCTCGCTCGCGCCCAAAGGGCTTTCACAAACGAGCCTAGGACCCCCACACCTGTCTACTTCTCCCCTTACTTTCTAGGCCTCCTTCCAAATCGCCACTTGCCCCAAGGCTACGAATCTAGGTGCTGAGGGGCTGTGTTTGGGGGTGGGGGGGGGACGGAACAGGACGGGACCGTCCCACGCAGGCCCGTAGGCTTGAGGCTTTCGTCTCTAAACTCGCTCCAGGACTTTTCCTGTCAACTTTTACTTTTCCCTTAATCTCTAAGCTCCTCCTCTCCCCCTTCCCTTCCCCCCTCACCGCGCAAGCTCCGCTGCCCTTTCTGATTGTGAAACGGCTCCCCTGGGCAAATTCAACTCTACTCTCTCCGCTTGTGGAAAAAAAAAACTTATTTCACAATATCCTTCCCCTGTCGCCTCCCCGATTTTCCATGTATCAAGGCAACTGAATACAGACTTATAGGAGAATCAATATAGTACAATTCACAACTACAGAAGGTCTAAGAAAAGTCTCAAGACTGAACTGTTATTTATATATATATGTGAAAAATATTAGTCATTTTTGAATGTGAAGTGCATAACTTGAGCCTGCAGTTAAGTGAGAGGAAATGGGGAGCAAGGGTGGACTTACTTCAATATGGTTCTGATCTTGGAATTAAAAAAAAACACAACTATTTAATATCGTGTATGCCAATAAAACTACCCATTTTAATTAGTATTGACAAGGATGTAATCCCCCGAAGTAATAACAATATTGAGAACGTAAGTAAGAGCTCAACCTCGGAAAAAGGTGAACAATCTATATGTGGACTCCCAAGAATCTGTGGACCTGATTGATTCACAAGTTAATTGCTTTTTAAAAAATTTGAGAAAAACCAAGTCTTATATTATCAACTATTTACGAGATAAGGAGAAAAGATTCATTCAAATTCTTTCTAGGATGCCAATACGGTCTTCATGTCTAAACTTGAGGACTGAAGAGACCCAAAGAACTATGGATTGATATTTGTAATGAACACTGGGGGAAATGTTATAAAAATAAAATAGCAGCGACTACATCAATATATTGATAATATTAAATAGTATGGCCAGGTTAAACTTACATTAATTATGCAGGTCTGGTTTAGTATTAGGAAAACTACATATTAATAAAAGAGCAACCTAAATCTTCATTACAGCCACAGCCACAGGAAAAGCTTTTAATGAAATTTAGCATTTATTTAAATTCAGTAGATAATAAGTAGACATTAGAACAAAGGGACATTTCTTCAATGTCAGTAAAATATATTTTCTATTATATAGTATAATCATTTAGCATACTATATAGTATATTATACAATACAAATGACATCTATTTAAAACCAAGAGCCTACATTATAAGGGATAATGTTATGGGCA